CTTCTCTTCTCTGAGCTTTTCAGTTTGTTTCTCCGAGTTCATTTCCGATGCCCGTGGAGACTCGCAGCCAGAAAGAAGAGAGAGAGAGGAGGGAGAGAGAAAAGGGAGAGAGGGAAAGTGATCGTATGAAGTGGGCAAGGACTGGGAAAAGGAGTATTCGTCAAAGTGAGAGGGGGAGTGAACCTCTTGAGAGTCAAATTGATTCTTTTGCTGACTGGCGACTCTCTGACCCACCTGTCCATACTGACAATCCAATAATTTTGTTAGATGCAGCCAATGATGCGGAAAAAACATATCTGCAAGCACTCCTAGATAGTGCAATCAAAAGGGAACAGGAGGAAGAGAAGGGGAGGAAGGAGACATTGTTGAGAAGGCAAGTGGCCATTCTAGAGACTGTTCCCTCACTGCCTGAAGATCAGTGTGGGAAACAGTTTCAGTTTATACTCACCGCCCTTGTTCAAGTCAGGAACCTTGAGGATCATACCACTCAGATCGCTGAAGTCTTTGCAAAGTTGCAGACACTTCAAGATGATCTGACTGATATGACCCGCAAGTACCATGAATTGACAAAGGAGGTGGCTGAGCTGCGACAAGCCCAAGTGGCCAACCCTCTTCCTCTACCCCCTGGATCTGAAGCTGCAATCGAAACTACCTATGCCCCTCTTACTGTATTTTCTTCCTCGAATGTGTTGGCAACCCCCTCGGGACTGGCAACAGGTGCAGATTCCACTGTTGCTGTGACAAGCAATGAGGCTGGAACTTCTGCAACTGCTGCAGCCCCAAGATGGGAACCAGCAGGTGCTGGTCCCAGCTACGCCGGTCCCTATGTGGATCGTAAGGCGGTTCAAATACCGTCTAAGAACGGCGGTAAAGAAGACATTGAATCCTGGATCAGCTCCATTAGGGCATATTTCGAGATTCTGGGGACTCAACCTGAGAACCAGTCCGTGATCATGGGAATGAATGTCGAACCGGTCGTGCGGGGCTTCTTAGAGGTCCAGGCTACGTGAGCTGGGATTCCTAAAATTCAACTAACCAAATGGCTTAAGGCCACCCCGGTTGCCTCCCTCGAGGAACTCCTCATATCACAATCCCTGGATCCACATGCTGCAGCAAGGGCAAGAATTGAACTTGACAAAATCAAGCGCAGCAAGTGGACGGGCTCCATGAAAAACCTGCAGACCTATCTTAGTAAGATGTTTGCTACACCTGGATTGGAACTAACTACTCAATCTTGCTTGGATGTGGTCAAGGGCACGGTTCCCACTAACTTTACTAATCGCCTGGGCAGGGACTTCATTGGTTGCATTGACTGGTTCACCTTGATGACGGACATAGTCAATCTTGAGGCTGTAGACCTCGTCGCCACAACATGCAGCAAAAAGCCCATAGGCGGCAGACGGTTCAAAGGCAACAACCGTTTTGTTGTGCATGACCTGTTGGAGGCCGAAGAAGAAGCCGATGCAGATGACCCTACTCTTGGTGACGACCAAGAACAGGACTCTGATACAGCTGGTTCTTCAACCCATGAGTCTAATGCAAACAAAGAAGAAGAAAAATTTACTGCCTTTAAAAAGACTGCCAATACAAAGGGGCCAAATCGGAGTGCAGGGAAGAACTATGTCCAACTTCCCAAGGGAGTCAAGATCCCACCTAAACCGGAGGATGCAACTACTAAACCTTGGGTTGACCTCCGGATTACTGAAAATGACTGGCGGGGTAGACTCAAGAAGGKGGTATGCCTGCATTGCCAAAAACCAAACCATAAGGTACAAGACTGTTATAGGCTGCAACAGGGGAGATTGAATCTGAGGCAGATCAGCAGTCCTCCCTTGAAGCCCAAACATTTGCTGAACACAAGGCTGAGGTGAGGAATGTTTTGTATGTCGAGCCTTGGAAGGAGTCTGGGACGGTCGACTTTCACTACCACTTGGAGCATTGGGCTGAGATGAAACAGAAGCGTGCCCAAGGGACGGTGAAGTTGATCTTCTTCAAACTTCTCATAAACCACCGCTATTTCCGTGTGTTGGTTGACTGTGGTGCTACGGCTAACTTTATGTGACCTCACGGGATACGCAAGGTGGGCTTGGGGATGAAGCAAGTGGCCTTGCAGAACCCTTGCCGAACCCAAGTTGGCAACAAAGAAGTTGTCTCTTCTACGCATGCAGTCAAAGGTGTGCGCACTACCTTTGACAAGGACAAAACTGTTACACATGCGTTGAACTTCTATGTTCTTGACAAGTGCCCCTTCGACGCTGTCCTTGGCTTGGGCTGGCTGCAGTCCCAATGCGAATCGACCAAGTGGAAGGAGTCACTTTTCATGATCAAAGATGCTAGAGGGAACGAGCTTCCTGTCCTTTTGGATGAGAAGCACGAGTCCCCAGTGACTTTTCTAAATGCAATGCAATTCTGCAAGAAATGGCGCAAGCACAAGGAGGAAGAACAATTGTATGTTGCCTTTGTTCGTCCTACCCATGTGCCATCTACTTTTGCGGCTACTACCACTACTACTTCGATTAGTGATCCTACTTCTAGTACTTCTACTTCTAGCACCTCTATTTTTCTACCCTCTAATGGTTCAAATGTTCCTACTTCAAGTTCGGTCATCTCTATACGCGACCTACGACCGGATCTAGGTGATCCCTTTGTTGATCCCCCACCCCCACCTGTCCCACCAGACATCCAAACCCTCCTCGATCGGTTTTCGGAAGTTCTGGCCGCGCCACGTGGAGTCCCCACGCGACCGGTCCAACACCATCGAGTTGGTTGAAGGTGTTGTTCCTCCAAAGGGCTGCGTATACGGAATGAGACCCGGTGAGTTGGAGAAACTCCGGCAAAAGATTGATGAGATGATTGACAAGGGGTCGATTAAGCCTAGCGAATCTGAATTTGGTACTCCTGTGTTGTTTGTTCCAAAGAAAGGAGGCAAACTCCGCATGTGTATTGACTATCACGGACTAAACCGCATCACAAGAAAGAATGCCTATTCATTGCCTCGTATAGATGATTTGCTTGATGTCGCATGTGGGTGCAAGGTCTTCTCCAAGATCGATTTTAAGTCTGGCTACCACCAGATTGAAGTCGATCTTGCGGACCAGCACAAGACCGTGTTCAAAACACGCGATGGGCTTTACGAGTTTACTGCAATGCCCTTCGGTCTCACGAACGCACCGACCACCTTCCAAAGCCTCGTGGACAAAGTTATCCGCGAACAGATTGGCCGGTTCATGGTGGTCTACCTCGATGACATACTAATCTTCAGCAAGTCCATGGAGGAACACCTCAAGCACCTTGAGGAAGTCATGACCATCCTCAAGAAAACGCAACTCCATCTCAACTTAGAGAAATCTTAGTTCGGGAAGGATATCGTCATCTATCTTGGTCATCGGTTGTCTGCTGCAGGCCTGGAGCCTGAGGCAACCAAGGTTGAGGTCATACGCGATCGGCCTCAACCCGCGAACATTTGCGAACTGCGTTCTTTTCTTGGCCTCGCGTCATACTATCGGAAGTTTGTGCCCTGCTTCTCTATTGTTGCTCATCCATTGTCGCGGTTGACCAGTAAAAATGTTCCCTATTCTTGGGACGCCGCGTGCACAAATGCCTTCCAAGCTTTAAAGGAAGCCTTGGTAAGTCACCCAGTACTCCGCATTGCAGATCCCAAACTGACGTTCGTAGTCACTACGGATGCGAGCTAGTACGGAATCGGCGCAGTGCTGCAGCCAGACGACGGCGATGGCTTGCGGCCACTCGAGTACTACAGCTTGGGTTAATGCCAAACTTCTGTTTGAATACATTAGTAAGGATACCACGAATGATCTGTTGACCACACTGCTGGCTAATGGTCTTAACACCATTATTGAAGTCAATTAGTTCTTCTAGCGAGCAAGCATACAAATCCTTCCTCTTCCAGGGAGCACACAAAAGGGCAATAAGGTGGGCTTTCATCAGATCAGACTTAGTCTGGGTTCTACGTAATTGAGTAATGGACCAACAACCCCCTGCTTCAATTAAGGTCTTGGCGTCTCTCAACAACATTTTACTACCATCACACTCAATCTTAGAAAAGCCAAACAACAAAGTCACCAAACGCCACGCTTTTAACCAGCGGCATCCTGGCTTATTACTAATACTCACAGGAGTGCGGCTTTTCTGCTTACCCAGCAGTTTGAGAATTCTCAGTAGGTCTGGTTCTTGGCAGATCTCAATATCAGGACAGTCAAAAAACAAAGGTTCGGATATGGCAACCAGGGGCGGCCTACAACCAGAACGCTTCCTCCCCCGATCCTTTCGAGAGGACTTAGCCAGCCTACGACCAATTGAGTTCAAGCCTGGGTTATGACTCTAAATAATCTTAGGTTCAATACCCTCGATAGCAAGAGAAGCTCCGAACCAGATAGGAATTGGAACATAGTACTCGGTGTTGGGCAAATTCTATTTTCATACTACCAAAAAACGAAATTATGTTTTCGCCAGAATTTGCCACTCCAAGAATGATGAAACTAATACCCATTTTGTTTAGTGCTATGGGCGCATTTTTGGCGTATCGTGTTAATTTTTGTGCAAATCATTTTACATATGTTTTGAAAACTAGTACACTAGGCTTTGTTTATGAATGGAAGCCCACACTAGTGTCTCAAAATCAATCGAGCAAGCTCACAGGTCGCCTTGGTTTCAATGCCTGTAGCCTTCGTGTCGCCACGAAGTTGCTACCAGTTTTTACAGCCCTGCAGTGCTCAGACCACCTCTCCCTCAATGGGCGGATGGTCTTCCCGACGTACACCAACTTAAAATCAATTGACATAAGTGCATACACACAACAACGACCATCAAGCAAGTCGCCCCACTCTTCATTAGTCATGCGTAGCCAGAAGGGTAAGTATGCCCGTCCCCACGCTATATCCCCCCTTAGGCAAGCCAACAATACAATCAAGACCTGGATCTTATCAATCAGCGACTGCAGAGTACTGTCAACGGAGCATCGCAGGGTCCGAATGCGCCTCGATGCTCTTTTTAAGGAGCGAAGGCTCCCTAATCAGTTCCCCGAAATTGAGTCACCACCCTTCTCGTTACAAGACTCTGGATTATCAATGTTCCTCCCAGTCGTCTTGTGAGAAGGTTCAACACCTTTATTCCCGATGTTAGCCCCATTCGGGGCGTTACCATTCAATTGGTCCGCGTACTCTTGCAGATCCAACCTCGCCAATTCCCATGCCGCTGGTTCCTTACGAAAGTAAGAGATTTCTCTTTGCTTGCATAGTTCCTGCACCCTGGTGTAGTGCAGGGACATGTAAAAGTCATGCCACATCTTCATGTACACGGCCAAACCGCCCACGTCAACCTCGTCTTCATCATGGTCTGGAGTGTTGACAACAACGTCCACATCTTCAGTGTCCTCTTCCTCCATTCCATGCTCCATGACAAGTGGTCTTTCAGGATCCACCACCGGTTGCTTGCCTTTCACTTCAGCAAGACTTTGCGTGATCGCGGCCAGCATTCTCTTCACCTCAGATAAGTCACTGCTCTTCTCCAGCTTTTCACTCAAGTTCTGCCGCACTTGACCAACATCGGTGTCTTCCTCGTCGGAGGAAATTTCAACTCGGTGAGATCGCCCTTTCGAACTTCCTCTCGATTGGGACTTCGCATTGTTGGCTGGCGTAACAGCAGCAGGCGCCGCAGCAGCACCACGCTTTCGCTTTTCCCTACTCGCCTCCTTCTTATCCTTCTCGAGGGCAGCCTTCTCAGCTCTTAGTCGCATTAGCTATGTCTGGGTCAAGATGTCTGAATTCTCAGAAGAAGAGGGAGTCTCACGCAAACTCCTCCCTCTCTATTATGGGCCCTAGGAAGTTTTGGATGTGATTGGTGAAGATCACTTTGGCCCTTCGTATGTCATTGATGTGCCTGCCCATCTGCGCACATACCCCGTGTTCCACTCATCCAAACTGTACCTCCACCATGGTGCTAAGACATTCGATTATCGCGAAGATATGATCCCTCGCGCGATCAAAGGCGGGCACGAGATAAACAGGATCAAACAACACGTAGGGAAGGGATGCAACAGACAGTACCAGGTTCACTTTATGTACGCAGTGCACCACGTGTTGTCAAAGCATATGAGTGACAAATCGTCACTAGCGCTGTACCTAAGATCTCTGCAAAGCTCACTGCAACAGAGTACTCTAGGAATCCCTTTGCCTTGCTCGCTTACGATGCATTTGTCGAGGACTCAGAGTGAGTTACTTGCTCGAAGGGACCTCGCTCTTGAGGGGGGGGTAGTGTGATGAACCGTCCATACATGGACCGAAACACACAGCTGATTTCTGAGTTTTGCCCATAGACTGAATGCCCTGCTGAGTTTCCCGCTTGCTACTAAGTCTATGTGTGCACGCTTGCTGGACTGCATGTCTGTCTAAATGCTGGATGGCTTGCGTGTGTGTGTGACCGTGCCTGTCTGAGTGTTGGTTGGCCTGGGTGTGTGTGTGACCGTGCCTGTCTGAGTGCTGGTTGGCATGAGTATGTGTGTGGCCCATCACGGCACTTGCTCGTTCGTTGGGCCCTCTGGGCCGATACTTACCTGTGGTCGTGACATTGAGGGGTTGCAGCGGGGAAAAACACTCAAGTAGCGGGTAGGCCGGTACCGCACCTGGAAGGGGTAGATGTGCAGGTACCGGAGGCCGAGCAGAAGAAGACAAAAGTGGCATTTTTTTAGAGGCCCAGTAGTTGTAGGTAGGTCTAGGCGGATATCAGTCCAACCAGTCTGGGTCTAGGGCTTGTAACGGGCAGTATCAAAGTCTGCAATGATGTTTCCCTCCGAAAGGGAGGAGGTACCAGTTGCTTGGGAGGCAGAGCGGCTTGAAGTCACCGCCCAAGAGGCAAAGCAGGCCGCTATATCTTCTGGCCGGGCGGAGGGTCCGTCCTCTTTTTCGGTGTGCAAGTTTGGCGGCACACTGGTGGAGCGCTGGCTGGAGCAGCGCTGCTGGGGAGGAAGGAGAAGGACACGAGGGAGGAAGGAGGAAGAAGGAAGGGGGAGGAGCGCCAGGGGTACTTACCTAGCTATGGTGGCAGCCATCTTCATCACCTTGGTGGGCGCTGCAGCAGGGAGTCCCCAGCTGGGGAGAGCTACACCAAGAAGCTTCGGGGCAGGGCCAGGCATGGCGGCCTGAGCTAGAGCAGCCATAGCTGCTTTGGGTTGTCCTTTGGGCATCTGGGCAAGGTCTAGTAGTCCGCCATAGCCTCGGCCTCTGAGACTGAAGAGTGGGGAGGCGGCCATGGCTATGGTGGACCTCAAGTGATACCTGCAGTAGAAGAGGGACTCGGACATTGATTCTGGATCAGTCATTCAACATTGTATTATTATTTTTTGTATGAATAAGAGAAGGGGGAGATAAGGAGGAGGAGATTGTTGGGCGAAGAAGAAGAGTCTTGTCATTGTCTTTGCTGGTGTGCATCTTTTTCTTCTTTCTTCTTACTTATTCTTCTTCTTCTTCTAATCCTCTCTCTCTCCTCTCGAGTTCATTCATTTCTTTTTGCAATTGGATGGCATTGTACTTTCCGGTGGATGTGTATCTCGAAATTGGCCAGGGTCATAACACTACTCTCTATCTACGTGAATGAAAGTATGATTGTGAAAGCTATTACTTTTGACTACTTTCATTTCAGGTAATGATCTGAAAAGGTTAAATTAACAAGTGTGTATGAGAAATTCAGATTATTCGAGTGAATTCAAACAGGATGAAAATGTGACCTTATTTGTTGTTGTGTTGCGGAGGCTGGGGGAACACATAAGTTGCGGGTTGTTCGGTCCCACACACCTATTGCTTGTTTTAGGTGGAGCTAGGCTACTCATAAGTTGAGTAGCCTGGTTCTACGCTATATGCCATTGTTTAGGCTGACTAGTCACACCATAAGTTGGTGTGGTCTAGTTATATGTCTCTCGTCGTCTGTTCAGGCAAAGGCTAGACCCCTCATAAGTTGAGGTGGTTTAACTTTTTGTATATGTCGAATGTTTAGGCTGGCCAGCCTCACCATAAGTTAATGCGGCCCGATCATACGCCTTATGTCAATTGTTTAGGCAGAAACTGATCACACCATAAGTTGGTGTGGCTCAGTCCTATGCCTTACGTTTACTTGTTTTATCGGCTTGGACGCCATGAGTTGGTGAGACCAAGTCATAAGCCGCAAACATAAATGGAACCAGAGTATACAATCCGATATAAGTATATATTAAGTATATCATTAGCAGGCTAGGCGCCATAAGTTGGGAGATCTAGCCATATAAGCCGGTCGCAAACAAAGCAGAAAAGGGAAATAAGATTCATAGTACAAAATTGAGAAGTAACTTTGGCCAGACTGACTCATCCATAAGTTGGGTAGTTGGGTAGTTGGTCACATGCCCCTAATAACACAAAGGGCAGAGAGATAATATAAAACTTGGCTATTTTTCTTTCTAAACATAGGCTGATGTTTGGATGGGGATCCTCATAAGTTTAGGTGACCTGACCACTCGTCTGAAGACAGAAATAATTGTGATCTTACTTATTGAATGTAGTTGTGTTGCGGAGGTTGGGCGAACGCATAAGTTGCGGGATGTTCGGTCACACGTACATGTTGCTTGTTTAGGTGGAGCTAGACTACTCATAAGTTGAGTAGCCTAGTTCTACGCTATATGTCATTGTTTGGGCTGGCTAGCCACACCATAAGTTGGTGTGTTCTAGTTATATGCCTCTCGTCGTTTGTTTAGGCAGAGGTTGGACCCCTAATAAGTTGAGTTGGCTCAGTTAATTGTGTATGCCGAATGTTTAGGCTGACCAGACTCACCATAAGTTGGTGCGGCCTTGTCATACGCCTTATGTCATACGCCTTCTGTCAATTGTTTAGGCGGAGGCTAATCACACCATAAGTTGGTGTGGTAAGTTCTATGCCTTATGTTTATTCGTTGAAAATGATTGTATTGCGAAAACTGGGCGAACGCATAAGTTGCGGGTTGTTCAGCCATTCGCGCATGTGATTTTGTCTAGGCTGGGCTAGACTACTCATAAGTTGAGTGGTCTGGTTCTACGCTATATGTCACTACTGGGGTGACGAGGCACATCATAAGTTGGTGCGTTCTAGTCATATGCCTTTTGTCGTTGTTTAGGCAAAGGTTGGCCCCTCATGATTTGAGGAGGTTCAATTTTTTTGTGTACGCCAAACGTTCAGGCTGACTAGCCTCAACAAAAGTTGGTGCGGCCCGGTCATACGCCTTATGTCGATCGTCTAGGCAGAAAATGGTCACACCATAAGTTGGTGCGGCTTAGTCCTATGCCTTACGTTTATTTGTGCTACCGGACTAAGGCACCATAAGTTGGTGTGGCCAAGTCATATAAACTGGCAGGTCAGTCACATCCATAAGTTGGGTTGGCTGATCCTATGTCTTATGTAAGGAAGGGTAAAAAAGATTAACGAGGGATTTTGAACGAACTATGTGATCTGGGAAGGAACCTGAGGGTTGGCGAAAGATGTTGTTGCGCTCACCTGTGTATGTTCTTAAGGTTTATCTCTGGGGTATTCTTTTTGATAGCTTAGTTGCTTTAGATGCTCGTTCAGTGTTGGAGCTATAGGTAGGTGAGATGGATGATGGGAGGGAAACTTGGGATATGATAGGACTGACCTTGGTGGAAGTTAGGACTAGTGATAGCTCACGATACCATCTTCAAAGGGGGATCGTGTAAACTATCTTCAGTTCTAACTATCAAGTGAAGTATAGTTGTACTTTGTCTTTGCATTTTCAGCTTTGTATAAATCTTGGCAGTCTCCTTTTCCTACGGGTAGCGCTGCGGAAATTTTTATAAATCTGATAGAGTTAGTCATTTTTTGACACCTGAAAATTATGAAAAGGCACTTTTCCTACAGCAAGCGCTGCTGAAATTTTGTAAAATTTGAGGAGTTGAATTATTTTATGCTAAGAAGAATATGGCAAACTACCCTAACGAAGGGAGATGCTGCCAAGATTTTCAATAATATCTGAAACTCATTGGAAGAAAGTAAGGGAGAAGTTAGTAGAGGAGTTAGGCTACGGCATAGAGCATGTCCTCCATCTGTCTTAAACGTAGTATTGGTCCGCTTTGGCCTGAATTGTGATGCAGGTCTACGAATTCGATTGAAGGCTTGATTCGTTCGGCCTGACCCTACGAAGGATCACGTTTTTGTTATCTTTTGATAACAGGTCGGTTTACGACACAACTTCCCTGCTTCTGCATCTCAACCTAAGGCCTTGGCTCTTGTGGGTTTTTATGTTTCTTGGGGTTCTCACCGAGATTTCTTTTTGAGTGGCATTTCTAAAGACCGAGTACCTTTATTTGAGGGATGGTGGAAATTGGTTGGGGCTTGCATGCATAAGGCAAGGTGTGAGTCGCAGAAAGCAGTAAAGTTGACTCCCTTAGTATGTGTGATGTTGTTGTTTGAACTCTGTGCGATTGCAGGTATACTTATAAAATCTTTGAATTGAGCTTAGTGATAGTCTGAGTATTGTGTGAATGCGGATGGATAAGCCACACAATTGTTGTGAGAGTGATCGTCGGATACCACACAAACTTCTGCTTGACTGTTTGGACTACCCTTGCTTAGCATAACTATAATGGTTGAAGGGAACCCTGCAGTGGTTGTGAGAAGTGATAGTCTCGTATTTAATAACCCTTCATATACGTATATGCATACATTCTCCTTTACATATACATATACATACAATATTCGTACGGTCTGCTGTGACCGCGTGCGAGAGTTAAACATACCACGTCTAGAGAGACAAGGGAGATCCCTTTTTACCTCTTACTTTTTAGAATTATTATGGTTGGACGGTATAGTCTGTGGCAGCCATCAAAGTCAAACCGCTTGATTTATCTCCAGGCCCTGGATGATGGAGCTTGCTTCCTAGGCCACGAGAGTTGACTTCCACTACAGGCAG